GCTTTGGCCTAATTCTCGCCAGTCTATTTTTCCATCATCTTTAAATAAAAAATTAGAGCAGATCCGTTTTTTTCAGCGACCGCTTTTTACACCTAAAGAAGAAGCCGCCACAACTTAATAAGCGAGATCGGTGGTTCGGCGAAGATATAAAACGCTGACCAAGTTTGCATTTGGCGAAGACGTCGGATGAAAATTTCTCTCTGAAGACGGTCTTGAATCAAGGCTGGAGTGATACAGCAAGAGTTAATGTTATTGTCTGTCTGTCTGTCGGTATGTATATATGTCTGTCTGTCTATATGTCTGTATGTATGTATGTCTATATGTCCGTATGTCTGTAAGTCTGTATGTATGTATGTATGTATGTATGTAGGTTTGTTTGTTTGTATGTCTGTTCATTTGAATATAAGCATATGTCTGTTTATCTGTCTGTCTGCCCGGTTTTTCATTAATTTATCTCTCTATCTAAGAGTCTATCAGTCTGTTGGTCGACCGGCATATTTATATATACAGCATATCGATCTGTCTACCTATCTGTTGATCTCTATCTGTCCGTTTATCAATCAGTCTATCTTTAAATGTATAATAACACCAATCAACCTATCCATCTATCCATCTATATATCCAATAACCAATACACATTTATATACAAAACAGAGTGACATGAAATAAATGAACCCCTTTGAACGAAGCCTTTCGGAACAATACGAAGCGCAACAGCGTGATGCATGATGATCAATGATCATATATTTTATAATTTTCGCGAAAAAAACAGATAAACACGCTCACGGTTATGGGTATCATCCCCTTTTATGTTTTGCTATTGCTTGTTATTCGTTAATCATATCTTTTCTTCTCTTTTCTTTTTTCACTTATTTTTAGGTATTATGTTATTGTTGTTATTTGCGATGTTATACGTCGAGATACAGTTACTTATTTGAAGAAAAATATATGTATAAATAAATAATAAATAAATATATATATACGTGCATGTATATATATATATATATATATATATATATATATATATATATATATATATATATATATATATATATATATATATATATATATATATATATATATATATATATATATAAAGGAAGAAAATTATTGGATCTGTCCTGCTTAGAAAATAAATAATAATAAGTGTGATCATTACGATAATGATGGTGATGAGGATTATGATAATAATGATGATAATGGTGATAATCAAAAGCATGCTGATATATAAAAAAATAATGATATTGATAATGATAATGATGATGATAATGATGATAATTATAAAATCTATGATAACGATGATGATAATAATAGTAATAATAATAATAATAATAGTAATAATAGTTATAATGATAATAATAATAATAATGATAATAATGATAATAATAGTAATAATAATAATAATAACAATAATGATAACAATCATAATAATAATAATGATAATAATAATAATAATAATAATAATAATAATAATAATGATAACAATAATAATAGAAATAATGATGATGATGACAATGATGAAGATAATAAGAATAAAAAAGCAATGATAATGATCCTGATGATAATAATAGTAATAGAAAATGATAACAGGAAAGGCGTGACTTACTTGCTGGCAGAGGCAGAAGCGATTTGGTCCCTGACGGGCATCCAGCAGGTGTTGGCAGGAGCTGGTGGTAGTGTTGTCAGTGGCTTGGTTGGCGTTGGGCAGTGGTGGAAGGCGAGGCCTACCAGCTGCTCACACTACCAACTCCAAACCACTCTTAAGTAAGTACTTATATCAACATCCCCTCCTTGCGCACGAGGGTAACGCACCGAAGAAGAAGTTTTTTTTTTTATTTTTTATTATGCTCTCTTTTTCTGTTTCTCTCTATCCTGTTCTTATTTCTGTTCTTGTTCTTTTTTTTGCAAATGTTTTCCCTCCCTTGTTTCTGGTGTTGTCTCCAAGCCAACGCTCTTCAAGGGAGGACGGAGAGTCTTTGGTGATTTCAATGCCTCGGTCTCACCAAATCTTTTTCTCTCACTTTTTTCTTGTATTTCTTCTTTTTTTTTTTGGGGGGGGGGTTAGTATTCGATAAAACAATACAAGTGAGACTGTCTTAAGAGAGTTTGCATGTCATCGGATCTTCTTCAAGATTTCGCTGAGGGAAATGTGTCGTTTGCTTCACGTTCTTTGCTTCACTTTTGCTTCAGGTGAGGAAACGCGACTGAATCAACACAAGCACAAGTTAATTCACAATATATTTTTTTTATTATTATTATTTTCTTCTTCCTCAAACGAGACAGTAATCCACGAAAATAAACCGCATAAAAACGCACATACACAATTCTCAATCAACCCCTTCAAAAAAAAGTTTTAAAAAGGGGAGAAAGAGAGAGAAGAAAAAAAAAAACGAAAAAAGTACAGATTCGCACACAAAATCTCAGGTATTCCTCCGCGGTCTTTCGAGGCGGCGCGTAGGCTTCACGTGAAGGCCGCAGAACGCATGCGCAGCCGGCGGTCCTCTCCTTAGCGAGTCTGGATGGAAACTAAACCACCGCCAGGACTCCAGCCACGCGATCCTGCTCAGGGAGGGGGCGGGGAGGGGGAGGGGAAGGGCGGTGAAGGCATGGAGGAGGGGGGAGGAGGGCAGTGAAGGGAGGGAGGGAGGGGTGAGGAGGGCGGTGAAGGGGGGGGGGGAGGGTGGAGGGCTGTGGAAGGGAAGATAAAGGAAGTAGGGAGGGTGAAAGAGGTAGGGAGGAGGGAGGTTAAAAGCGCAGGAAGAGAAGATGGAAGAGGACGGAAGAGGGGAGGAGGAAGGGAGAGGGAAGGTGAAGGAGGTAGGAAGTAAGGAAGGAGAGGAGAGGAGGAAGGAGAGTAGAAGGAAAAGGGAGGAAGGGAGGAAGAGGCTGAGGAAGGGAGGTGGTGGGGGGGCGGAAAATGACGAAGGAAGGATACGGGGAAGAGTAGAAGGGTGAAGGGGAGACGGGGGGGGGAGGGAACTGAGGGAGGAGGGTTGCCGATTAGTTAAATAATGTAAATAAAAAAAGTCCTTTGTACTTTAAACTCAAGAAGCGCAAAAAACCGGCATATTTCGCAATTTTCAAAAAAAGACAATGAACACAGATTATCTCTTAAAGTCAGGTGTGTAAGAGGATAGAAACTTAAAAAAGTAAGATAGAAAAAAAAGAAAAGAGAGAGAGGAGAGAGACAGAGAGAGAGAGATAGAGAGAGAGAGAGAGTGAGAGAGAGAGAGAGAGAGAGAGAGAGAGAGAGAGAGAGAGAGAGAGAGAGAGAGAGAGAGAGAGAGAGAGAGAGAGAGAGAGCAAAAGAAAAAGAAAACAATAAAAAAAGAAAATAAAGAGAAAAGGAAACGATGAAATAAGAAAATAAAGAGAAAGAGACAGGGAAAAGAAACTGATAAAGGGTACAGAACAGAGAGAACGAAATCCCCTTAAGAAAAAAAAAAACAGAAAAAAACACAAAAAAGAACAAGAAATTAAAATAATAAATATAAAGATAAACAAATAAAAAAAAGAAAAGAAAACAAAAACAATCTAAAAAAAATTAAAGACGAAAATAAGACACACACACAAATAAAAAAAAAACAAATAAAAACAAAACAAACAAATAACAAAAATAGACAATTAGAATAAATAAAAAATAAAAAATAAAAATTAAAAATAAATAAAAACTTAAAAAATAAATAAAGAAAAATGAGTGCCTTTCCGCCCGTCTGTCCACCTGCGCCTCCGCTCACCTGGGGATTCTCCAGTGGTTTATTCTGCCTTTCATTTATCATTTTTATTTGTTGGCTTTTTCTTTATTTTCATTTCTTTTTTTTATTCCACCTCCGCCTCCGCTTACCTAGGAAATTCTTGCCTTTGTGGGTGTCCGGAGACTCCTTCTTGCGTCGCTGCTGTTTAGTGGTTTATTTTTTCTTTTAGTTATCCTTTTTATATATTTGTTTATTCTTTATTTTCATTTCTTTTTCTTTATTCCACCTGCGCTTCTGCTCACCTGGGAAATTCTCGCTCCTTCTTGCGTCGCGTTGCTGTTCATTGGTTTATTTTGCCTTTTTGTTTTCTATTCTATTTATCTATTTTTTATTCTTTTTTTTTCATTTCTTTTTTGTTTCAGTTTATTCATTCATTTTCTATTTCATTTTCTTATTTTTTAATTTTTTCCTTTGTTTTCTTTATTTTTAAATTTTTCTTTATTTTTTTTTCTTTATTTTGATTATTTTTTTCATTTTTTTTCTTTATTCGTTTTTTCTTTATTTTTATGAAGTTGACTTTTATTTATTTTATTTATTTGTTTTTTATTTTCATCTATTTATTTTTTTCTTTCCCTTCTCTTTATTTCCATTTATTTATTTTTTATTTCATTTTATTTATTTTTTATTTCATTTTCTTGAGCTGTTTTTTATTTCATTTTATTCATTATTTGTTTCACTTTAATTATTCGTTAGTTCATTTTTTTTTATTTCCTTCCCTTTTTTATTTCTTTTTAAAATTATTTCCTTTCCTTTTTTATTTTTTTTTTTTCCTTTTTTTAGGACTGGCATTATTGCATTTTTGTGGTGGGGGTGGGGGGTGGGGGTGGGGGTGGGGGTGGGGGGATGGGGGGGATTTCTGTCATCATTCTGTGGTGTAGTTTCTAGAAGAGGAAGAAGAGAGGAAAATGGAGGAAAGAAAGAGAGAAGAGAAGAGGAACGATAGAGGAAGACGGAAGTAGGAAGAGGAAGAGGAAAAGGGAAGAAGGAGAAAAGGGGAAGTGCAAAAAAAAAGGAAAAAGGAAGAGGAAGAGGAAGAATAAAATGGGGAAGCAGGAAGACGAAGGATAAAGAGGCGAAAACAAGGAAGGATAAAAACGGAGAAGAAAAGGAGGAAGAAGAAAAAGAACGATGTAGGAAGAGGAAGAGGAAATAGAAGGATGAAGGAAGAGGTGGAAGAAAAAAGAAGAATGGAGAAAAAGGAAGAACTAAGAGAAGAATGGAGGAAAAAGAAAAAGAAGAAAAAAA